ACGAAATTTTATTTGATCCCCAATTTTTAACACTCTTTAACCGATATGAACGGAAAATACATTTCATTTCTTCTAAAATGATATGATATATATTTTTGTTTGAGCTGCAGGTATAAAATACGAAAAGAACTTAGATGTCCAATAACATGTCCCCATAACTGTAGTTTGACGTTCACGTCATGATAACGCTTATTTTTTTGCATATTTGGCATACAATTAATCTTATGAAATGATCTGATCTATATTAAATAAAGTTCTTGTTTAAATATGCATCAAAGTAGATCTACATTGTATAAATAATTCAAATATGACGAAATATTTAACTCGGATGCTTGACAAAGACCAGGCTCCGAGGCCAAAAATGTGAGACAAGTTCACATACGATCACACTCCGTCTCACTTTTAGAAAAAGAACATACAGTAAAAATGAAAATGCATCCAAAAATGAGCTCACCTTATTGTTTTCCCATAGCCAGATTATAAACGACTCAAACCCAAGCTTTACACCCTGACCTTAATTCCTAGCGTTGCAATTAAAGAATCGGAACTATATATGTGAATCAATTTTTCTAGCCAGTTTGCAGAGCCGGGATTTTGTTTTCGTATTTGTATTCTTAGCTCCATGTAGTAGTATAAATATAGAAATGTTTACTGTGAGTAGAACAATCTCTTATCATCTACCTAGCAACATATGTATGGAAAAGAAGGTCACAGTGTTACTTCTAGAAGTAATGTGTGGAATAATGGAGTTTGTTGTCTCGAATCTCCAACAGAATTTACTGCTACATAGGCATGCGATGGACGAGTATTAAAATGTTAATTGAAACTTGTCTTTTACATTAATTTGAGTGTTAGGGTAATAGTTGTCCGATAAATATGATGGATTGCACGCAACTATGTATTTAGCAGGTCCAGTGTAATAATTTAAAGACACTCCCAAGTACATTTTAACCTAGTTTAAGCTCCCTTTAGAAAAAAGTCACCATGCACTCTACCCCATATCTTCCAAAAAAAAAATCTATCCATATTTCTTGAAAGCGTATATTTTGTGGGAAGTACATCATTGTTTGCATGCATAACCAATTTATAGAAATACTAAAGAAAGAATATTAAATACAATAAATATACTGCATTGAACACGCTGTATGTGTAACAAATTGACAACATAGTTTCCTTTTTTACCACTAAATCAACTACAAAATGTCTGCTGTGTGTATCGGCGGTTCTCTCTGAGCACTTATGCTTCCTTCGACAATAAAAATTGACCGCCACGAAATAGCCAATCGTGCTGAATTTGGCGTTATACACAAATAAATCAATCAACCAATCTGCTGTGTGGAAAAGTTCATTTTTGTGTATAGTAGATTTATTTTTTTCCTCGCAAAACGTCACAAAAATGGCTGGAATATTGCTTTTTATACTTGTTAAAAAATCAAAAACACTCAAAACCGAAACCCGAAACCCGTAACTTGATAACCCGTTTGAAAACGGTCTAAAAATGTCAAAGAAAATTTAGTGTTAACCAATACCCAGTTATATTTTACAATTGGAAGCGTTAAAAAACCCAATTCATAGTATAAAACGTACATGAAATGCACTCCTGGTCCATAGTACTTCCTTTCAGAAAACATTGATCCATGTATATTTACGAAAGCAGCTACTTAAATAATATATATCTTGTCACAACAAATTGAGTATATTTTTTAAAATCGGTTTCACTCTGCTGTTGGTCAAATATCAGTTGATAGAGCTTTATTTGGGTTTATATAAAAAGGGCTAGAGTTTTTCATACTTTGCCAAAATGCTATAATTTCAAAAACATAGTAAAAAGTATGAATCGGCGACCTTTTTTTAGAGCTTTTAAAAGTTTGTGAAAAATGTTCAGATTTTGTAAGGATTATACACGGGAAATGTAAATTTATGCGACTATAAAGAAAACTAAAAGATAGAGTTTTAAATAATATATATATATATATATATGAGAAGACAGCTCTTATAATGAGTTCTCCGAAAGGAAAAAACAAAAAACAAAACGGAATCCCCATTCTCGTTTTCTTACTTCATCACAAAATAGGTAAATGTTTTGTAAATTCCTTTATAAAATAAATTATAAACATTTTGGATTATTTGCCTGATAAAACAATCATGATTTAAAAATTTTAATCAATGAAACTTTTTTTTTTAAATGAAAATTTCACAAATTAATTTCAGTTATTCATCATTCAATCTTGCTAACAATAATAGTAAACATTTTAAATCGATTATTTGTAGTTTTCTGCAATAAAAGATTGATAATTTAGACCCCGTTCTACCTTCAAATATTGAAAATCAACAATGGCAGCACAAGTACACGTAAACTATTTCTATTTCATACGTGATGCATATTCCATAAAGTTTTTCCTAAAGGATTTATCAAAAATTATTGTCAAAATCGTGAACTAATACGCATATGATGATGATTCTTCGAGTTAAACCGATAATATATGAAATATGAACTGTAACACTAGTATAAGCGACTTTTATTTTTAGAAAAAAATGAATACAACGGACCTCTTATGAATAAAGTGGAGATAAAATGAGATTATGAAAAGAAAAATATCAGGCTATCGTCTATCAACATCTTTCAGATAATCAAATTAAGAAGCATTTGAATATTAGCTAAATTTTAAAAAGACAAATTGTGGGAGAGAAAATACCAACATCAACAACGTGACAAAAAGAAACTAATAATAGAAGGGAAGAAACAGAAACAAGAAACAAAGTATTAACAATTTTACTAGCCAAGATTGAAGAAGTTTTGCGGCACAAAGAGCATTACTTAATTTTTAGAAAAAGAAGAAACTGATAATACAGATATATATGCACATAATATTTTGGAAGCACACTCTTCATAAGAGAAAAGCGGTAGTGTCAGTTTTTCCCTGCATTTGTTTCGCTTATTGTATCAAAATCAGTTTTGAAGTTTCAAAACATTCTGGATTTTGAAAATGAAAGACGCTAAATAATATACAAAAAAGATGTTAAATCTTCTCACATACAAATGATTCAAAACGTCAAATTGTAATTCAGTGCTAAACATTGCTGTTAGGGGCAATTTTTCATGAGTGTTTAAAATATTTTTTTAATTCTATGGAAATTTGGATATCAATGTTTGCATTTATTAATGCCAACCCCAACATGGAAAAATGAAAATACATAATGAAGCGACTACGAAAATCTCTGCAAAATAAAGACTTCTTAAAAGAATGTAAATTCTATGGTTAGTTTAAGTGGCATTTTCACATAAGTAAAAAGCTTGTATGCTTGAAACGTTCTTTGGAACAACGTCAGCATCCTTGTTTTATTGGGACGTCGTGTAACGCTCAGTGGTACCAATACCGTGCGCAACGTCTCAGCAGTTTGATAAGGGAAAAGGGGGGGGGGTGTCCTGTACAAACTTTGTATAACACTATTAATGAAATTCTAGAAAACACACTTTCATCATTTTATTTATTTGGACCAACATATTTGAAATTTAAAATATTCTGTTTGTCACTTTTAGGAACAGTATGATTTGGGGGACATCAATTAAAGAATATTTGTACTGGACATTCTAATTTAGACATCTTCTCCACATTAGAAATAATGGTTGAATTTAAATAAGTCATGACAGAATGACTCAAATTTCAGGAAACCTAGAGCACTTTTCAAGATGTATTAACATTAAGAGATACCTGTAATGTATTTGAAGCTTTGCGGACGTCCATTGGTAGTTTTACTGTCACAAATTTAGTTTACCTGGCAATGCATAGTGGAGACAGGTAAACATATTTGCGACAGTAAAATCACCAAAGGACGTCCACAAAGCTTCAAGTACAATACAGTTATCTCTATTCTAATGCAAAAAAGTACATAATTCAATTTCAATAATTCTTTCAGTAAAAAATTTTAAATAAAGAAAATTCAGCGAAGAGATGTTATTTTCTTTTGCCCCTACACTAGGTGATGTCATAGGTATGCTTCCGGCATCAAATGTAAACACCAGGCGTTTTCTGGCTTCTTGGCCACTTCAGAAGTTCTTGCTTTCTTGTCTTGTTTCTGGTTGATGAAAGTTTTGTCTTTTTTTTAATGCATTTATTGCATTTGGAAAATCTTGATACCTGAAAAAAATCAACTCTGTAAACAAGCTCACTCTCAAAGGCCCTAGAGTGCATGAATCTATCACATGGAAACATAAAAAAACTATATTTGCAGTTCAAAGGCAATTTCTTTTTTCTGAACTTTGATATTGTGGTTTTCCATATATGATCCAAAAATAGAAAATTCCTCATGATTTAAATATAAGAAGATTATCATCAAAATTAGTGCTGAAGCCACTATCACATGGTTAAATGAGGTCGTTGATGGGATGATAATTCTATTATGATTTGTCAACAAATAAAAATGTAGTTGATTGTGATTTGTCAATTAAAACTTTCTTTCCTAGGTTATCACTTCAATAAACAAGTTAGCCTTTTAAAACTACTTCTGTTGCCTATGGTTACATACAGTCAGTGGATATTATTGTGAAGAGTTTAATCATGTGAGATGTTATACACTAATAAATTCCTTTAAAAAGGCGTTTAATCCTTATAATACTTTAAAAATGGAGATAAAGGAATGCATGTTCCCACACTCGAAACCTGTATCGCACGTACAGTGTATACTTGTGTCATTGGATTGGCCTGGCGCATGAATACATTTGTTGGTTAATGCTAAAATATGTACTCCATGAAATTTGCTATCTGATAACAAATAAACTCCAAAAACTCTTATTATCATTTAAATGAATGTCTTGTGTTTTTTTATCTAATTTAATGATTAACGCGAAGTGAAAACACATTTTGTTAACGTCGAGCCGGGTTGTGTTACTATTATCGCCGCCATCTTGTTTACATTGGTTACGAAAAGAAGTTTGGTCAATGTCGTCTACCGAAAAATAAGCAACGTCAAGAACAACTTCCGGAAGTCCTCTCGACCAATCATATCAATGTATTCCCTAAAATGCAAATCATATAAGAATTATATACAAATAATGATTCAGATCATTAAATGGTATGTGTGTGTTACCTTAGGGATGGCAATATGACACATACATGTTCTCCAGAGTAACATAGAATGTGACATGGAAATAACTTCTGGTTCCCCTTTGTCATGTTGGTATTCAACCATCTCACTGTAAATTGACCTTTTGGTCACACATGGTGGTAGGTGTATTTTCTCCTGGTTGGGTAATTTCTCACCAAATTGGATGGCATACATATGCAACCACGTCATTGCACTTTGGCTAGAAGCATTCATTCTACCAAGAAGATTACCAATTTTATTGATAACAACTGATCCATCTAAAATTGGAGACAATAAGAACTCTATTACTCATGTAGCTACAACCAGACACAACATGTTCATACATAAAAAAAAATTTTTCGTAGGCAAGTCAGATAATAAACTTTTTATTTGTTTTTTCTGCATGAAATTCAGTTAGTGTTTTAAAAAATCCTTATTCCTCCATTACAGGTTTACTAAAAAAAATACCTGGGTGTGTGGCTTGAAGGCTACTTAAAAGGTTTACGTTGATAAAGAGTTTGGGTTTATGATTCTCAAACTGTTTTTATGTTGATAGCTTGGATTAGTTTGTCAGTTCTTCTTCCATAGAAATTTGAATCTACAATAAGAGTCTTCTGTCTCAGTGATACACAGGTGTTCCTAGAACGGATGAAATAGCAATAGGGGACTTAAATATCTCATTATCTGCTAGCAAAAAAATAAAAGTGTACTCAGTTTTTAGTTGCGTGATGCATGTTTTATATATTTACCATAAAACTTTTTCTGAATACTATAGTACGTTGATTTAGGGATTCCAAGAACCAGTAGAAAGGCTGATAGACACACTGAAGATGTACCTATCAGGTACTTGAACTCATACTTGCAAGTAAGTTCATTGATCCTGAAAGAGAATAAGATCATATTTTTTTAACTAGAAGTATTCATTTACATTTTTATGTTGTCATAAGTTAAAGATTTTTTTGTCAATATAAAACCTGTTATAACAAAATCATGCAATCAAATAAATGTGTTCTTGAAAAATTACACAGGGTAAGTATAATAATAGTGCATTTGAATTCATACAGCAGGTAACAAATTTCAGGTAGTCCCATGAAAAATTGTTCAGTGTTAGCTCATATTTAACCTAGCTCACTACATATTACTATATGTACCTGTTAAAGTGTTTCAATTAAGCAGTCTGTAATTTTGATGGCTGTGGATTGTTGTTGTTTTTAATATTTGTTTTTCATTTATGTTATCATATAAATCTGGACGTTGATTTGTCATGTCTTGTTTTACACTGTCATTTTGGGGTCCTATACAGCTTACTTTGCTGTGTGAGTAAATGCTCCACTTTGAATGCCGTATTGTGACTGACTTATAATTAAGAGATCTTTAAAGAAAATTCCATGAAAAGATGTTGTCTTCTTTGGCCCCTAAGCTAGGTGACGTGATAGGAGATAGAGAATTTTACGCTTACTGTCATACAATCAGAACCATTGATACAAAATAATTGTATTAGAATTGCTGATAATTTGAATGGCAATCATACCACATCTTCTTATATTGAAATATAAACATGATAATAGATGAAAATTATACATCAATGAACATATACCTAGAACGGCTTTGTAGCCAATTCAGAATGAACTGACTTTTTTCATTTGTAGACAGGGATTGAAAATTATTTCGAACAGTCTCTGCAGTCATAATGTTCAATCCTGATTTGCAAAGCATTGAACAGCACACCATGTATGTGAAAGAAGTCGGTGCTTTCAGGCTTCTTCTTTCTGCAAAATTTAAATAAATAGAATATGAGCTTACTGATTGATAACCCACGATGACAACATAAAACCCATAAAGTGGATTATCTCCCTTCAAAATCATCAGAAATAATCATCTTGCTTCATGCACATAAACATGTGATACACTTTTAGGGAGCTATCATTTGATTTTTATGGGGGGCTAGGATGAAAAATTTTGTCCTGCCTATTTATTTTTCCCTCTATTCGGTCCTGCTTTTTTATTTTTCACTCTATTCGGACCTGCCTTTTTTTATTTATCCTGACCTTTTTTTTTACATAAATTGTCATCCTGCCTTTTTTTTTTGCAAATAATCTCATCCTGCCTTTTTATTTTACTCAATACTCCTGTCCTGCCTATTTTTTTCAAATTTCATCCTAGCCCCCCCATAAAAATCAAATGGTAGCTCCCTTACTTTCATATAATATTTTATCAAAATATATTGAGTAGGTCAATGAGTTGCCCTTGCAAGATTCTGAATATGTTAAACAAATGCAAAATGGTTGTTGGGTTATGTCCCTAAGCAAGCATCCAGCAATTATAAGCACAAACATAGGATGTCTTACATTAGACACACAGATGAATTCGGTGGTTCCTTGTACCCTCCACTAACTTTCTATGCATGGGTGTAATACATGTTAGTAATACACTATTTTACAGAGAATGCGGTTTCTGATTTCTAGTCATTTTGATTAGTGAAGACAATAATTAGGACTACCAGGTAATAGACAAAAAATAAATTTTTTGGGTTTAGTATATAAAGAATAATACATGGTGAAATCCGTATCACATGCCATATCATCCCGAGATACCAATATCAGCCCGAGGGTCTTTATGATCGAGGGTGATACGGCATGTGATACGGATTTTGCCATGTTTTATACACTTTATCATATATTTAAATAGGAGAGTATATAGGAACTGCTTACTGATACAAAACACCTGGGTTACCTTTAGATTCATTTTTGCCTCGTTTTAACATTTATCAAATATAGGAACTGCTTAATTATTCATCCGAAGCACCTGGGTTTACTTACAATTTGTGTCCTGTAGTCCATAGAAATATTATGTTTATTGTATTTTTTGTTGTTGTTTATATGTGTTTTATTTTCATTGAATTCTTTTTGTCCTACTTTAGTAATGTTGTACTATACAAAACACATTCTGAAATAAACCTATTAAGAAAACAAGAATATGTCCCAAGTACACGGATGCCTCATCCGCACTATCATTTTCTATGTTCAGTGGACCGTGAAATGGGGTAAAATCTCTAATTTGGCATTAAAATTAGAAAGATCATATCATAGGGAACATGTATACTAAGTTTCAAGTTGATTGGACATCAACTTCATCAAAAACTACCTCTACCAAAAACTTTAACCTGAAGCGGGACAGGCGGACGAACGGACGGACGAACGGACGGACGAATGGACGGACGAACGAACGGACGCACAGACCAGAAAACATAATGCCTATAAATGGGGCATCAAAATTATCAATTCGATAACAAGTATACTATAATAAACAAAGGACTACTTTAAGACTGGTGAGAAAAATATGTACTTTTGAAATATCAAAATTTATAAAGTTTAACCCTCTTTGCCCGTATTTTTTTATGATTTCATTTCATGTGCCAGAAAATATGAAAGCTCGACGTCTGTGACGTCACATGCCAAACAATGATGTCATTAAAAAAAATGGCGTAATGACCGTTCCATTTTGGAACCATTGAAAAATATTTCTCTAATGTTTGTGCGATAAAGGGTGTGATAAAGGGTAGACCTGCGATAAAGGGGTGTGATAAAGGGTAGACCTGCGATAAAGGGGTGTGATAATATCAGATTATTACATGGCATATTTCAAATCAGATGTATTATCAGCCCAAGGTTCAATATCAGCCCAAGAGCCGAAGGCTCGAGGGCTGATAATACATCTGATATGAAAAATGACATGCTATGATCTTTTTATCATATGCTTCAACAATGGAGAAAAACAGTTTTTTGGTCCTTTTTCGTGGTTCTCACATAGAAGTTCAAAAAGTTAAAAGTTTACGGACGTCGGACGCCAAATGTAGTACATCCGATAAGAAATCTTTCAAACATATGCCTCAACAGAGGGAAAAAACAACAGCATGATATATTGCCGATAAAAAAAATCAACAAAACATAATGAACACAGTTTGGAAAAATTTGTAAAAACATTTGTAAAGTATCTTTCTAAATTATGCTGGAAACTTTTAAAAATGCATTTATTTGAATTTTTTTTTTGCATTTTACATAAGATATTATCCTGTATCCTAATAATTGTTTTGTACCTTACTTTAATTGTAATGTTTTTCACTGAAAACGTACCATTGAGAAGTATTCTCCGGAATTTGCCGAGTATCGCCGGAATGCCTTGCGATAATGTTAAAGAAAGGCATGTGATAATAATCGAAGCATGTGATAAATTTTTCATATCAGTCCGCTATACACCATTTCGGAAAAATATGGAATTCACGTAAATTCAATGCTATTATCATACTGTAAAAATTATATGTTATTTGCTATAAGTATATGATAAAGGGTCTGCATCAAAGATGAGCGATACGGATTAAACAGCAGGCTATTAATCAAATATTCAAAACAGCTGTATTTACTACTAAATATATGATAAGTATATATATAAAATTATATATACATGCTACTTACTTTTTCTCACAGGAGTTTCCATTGTTTCATCTCCAGGATAGTTCATATGACGGTCAACAGAAGACCCAAATGGTCTTCCTCTTTTTCTATGTGCTAAAATGCAAACATTACCATGATAACAAGAGGTTTGCTTGTTGTTTGATTTTTCCACAATTACTTAGTAATAAACAGTTGAGTGTATTGCAATTTATCAAAGCCATATTAAAATGTCATGCAATCTCTTACCTCAAAATGTACTTAAATAGAGATATAAGAAGATTTATTCTAATGCAACATCGCTTGTAATGTTAATTTTTATTGGATAAAGTCACCAATTTTCATGGCATCAATTCACAATTAATGCTATGGAAATGTACATGCAAGCGCAGACCATGTTTGGAAGATTTTTAATGTATAATTTGACGTTTTTTTTCTTTCAGGTTCATTAGAATGAAGATAGCAATATTGTATTTTAAGCTTCAACAGCATCAATTGGTGATTTTTGGCCACAGATGATTTTTAAAATGTTTATATCATTGTAAAAGCTCCAAATTATCTCCCTTTGGCGCAAAAATGCCATTTTTATGCATTAAAAATGAAATATTTTTAACTCATCGGTGACCTATATTTTTAATATTTTTTAAATGAGCTGTACTTAAACTGATCAATTGTAAAATTTAAGAGATTTTTTTAATTTTGGTTCTTTTTCGCTATTATCTCTATTACTCCTATTAGTTAAACAGAAAAAAAGTACCTTAACAAAAATGCATTTTCGATATCATACACTAGTCAAAACATTTACTAAATTTTATCATCGGTACAAGGACATCATTCGTAAATATAACTCAACATGCAGACATCTTATACGTTCGGGTATTTCACATCCAATCTTTTATGGTAATATTCTTTAGAAAGCACAAAAATGTCATTATTCACCTCAAAAGCTAACAAAACCTTTAAACAGACTTATTAAGAAGGGATATAGTTACGATACTGTTGTCAGGTCATTAAAGATTGCATATTTTGGCTTTAATATTGTTTCACTTATAGGGTCTTTGCATCGGAATTCAACACATTTATTCTAAAACCAGTTGTTGGCATGACACGGGTTATGTTCTTCTCATATATTTTATGACGGTATAATACTAAACCCCTAACAGGAGGGATTGTGCCTGATATTCATATGATGAAGACATAATCTTTCAATCAGTTTAATTGAGGTCTGGAGCTTGCATGTCAGTAACTGCTAGTAGTCTGTTGTTATTTATGTATTATTTTCATTTTGTTTATTTTCTTTTGTTTCCTATTCTGATATCGGACTCGGACTTCTCTTATACTGAGTTTACTGTGCGTACTGTTGTGCGTTTGTTTTTACTACATTGGCTAGAGGTATAGGGGGAGGGTTGAGATCTCAAAAAACATGTTTAAC